AGGACACTTTTCAAATAGAGCAGGTCTAGACTGAACTCCTTATAATAATAATAATAATAATAATACATTTTATTTATAAGCGCTTTTCTAAATACTCAAAGACACTTTACATAAAAAAAAAAAAAAAAAACAAAAACATAAAAGCAGCCAAACAACATCAAATAGTAAAACATTAAAAACACATCAGACTTAGCTAAACATTAAAAGCAATTTTTAAAAAAAAACATTATTTACAGACACACACAAGGGACAAGTAAAAAATGCACATGCTGCAAACCCTGATACCCAACACAACTTGCACTTTCACTCCATTGAATCATCTGCAGCCTGCAATTTAAATAATACAAATAAATTAATTTATTATGTACATATATTATGTATATAATATATGAACCACTGCATTGACACAGTGCATTTGCTGATGACTTATGAGAATAATCTGAAATCTTTTGAAATGTGAAGTCTGATTTCAGTCTGATCTGCAAACTTCTGATCCAAACAGCTGATCTGTGACATGGTACTGTGCGTGGCATAAGCTTTTGTGTGCTTCAATATTTTTTGTGTTTCCAGTACTATAGATAAATACTGCATACAATCATCAGTATGCCCAATTAGCAAGCCAACTGACTGGTTATTTGCTTTTAATAAGGCTTTTAATAAAGCATCCTTTGTCCACATATACCTGAATATTTCAAAATCAATATACAAACACTGATGAAGAGAATTCAAATTGAAAACATACCTTGAATTGCTGTAGTGCCTCAATACACAGTTTGATCCTGTGGGGACAATCTGCAATAATTCACATCACTCCAATCAACAAGAATGTCATCAAATGCTGCTTTTAAAACATATATTTTAAGTGTTTCACACCCACCAATACAAATAGCTGCTTTCTGGTGAGTCATGTGTTAATGTGCATTATGGAATCACATTAGCTATCAATCTCCATAGTCCTTAATGACCACACAATAAAGCTTTTCATTAAATTTCCAAATAATAAGAAACACATTTGTATTTTGTCTCCAAGATACAGTTATTAGATACACCAAGCTAAAAAGTAATGTAGTCTAATCCAACATTCCTGCTATAAATTCTATTGTTGGGAGATGGTAATGATTTTCTTGAATCTGTTTTAGAGATATTCAACTGTATGATGTCTTTTAGAAGAGCTGTAGTGTGTGCTGCTGTTGAATTGTATCACGTTATATAGTTACAATATAGTTCACCAGACCACGAACCACATCCTATAATAATAAAATAAAACTACATTCAATCATCAACACTATTTTAGGATACATCTTACCAAGATGTCTTTGAAGCAAAGAAAGATCAATTACAACAGATATAAGTAAAATTAAAATATAAACAGTACTTACCAAACATATGTTAAATAGTCATAATATACAGTGGGTACGGAGAGTATTCAGACCCCTTTAAAATTTCCACTCTTTGTTTCATTGCAACCATTTGCTAAAATCAAAAAAGTTCATTTTATTTCTCATTAATGTCACTTAGCACCCCATCTTGACAGAAAAAAACTGAAATGTAGAAATTTTTGCAAATTTATTAAAAAAGAAAAACTGAAATATCACATGGTCATAAGTATTCAGACCCTTTGCTGTGACACTCATATTTAACTCACATGCTGTCCATTTCTTCTGATCCTCCTTGAGATGGTCCTGCTCCTTCATTGGAGTCTAGCTGTGTTTAATTAAACTGATTGGACTTGATTCGGAAAGGCACACACCTGTCTATATAAGACCTTACAGCTCACAGTGCATGTCAGAGCAAATGAGAATCATGAGGTCGAAGGAACTGCCCAAGGAGCTCAGAGACAGAATTGTGGCAAGGCACAGATCTGGCCAAGGTTACAAAAAGAATTTCTGCAGCACTCAAGGTTCCTAAGAGCACAGTGGCCTCCATAATCCTTAAATGGAAGAAGTTTGGGACGACCAGAACTCTTCCTAGACCTGGCCGTCCAGCCAAACTGAGCAATCGTGGGAGAAGAGCCTTGGTGAGAGAGGTAAAGAAGAACCCAAAGATCACTGTGGCTGAGCTCCAGAGATGCAGTAGGGAGATGGGAGAAAGTTCCACAAAGTCAACTATCACTGCAGCCCTGCACCAGTCGGGGCTTTATGGCAGAGTGGCCCGACAGAAGCCTCTCCTCAGTGCAAGACATATGAAAGCCCGAATAGAGTTTGCCAAAAACACATGAAGGACTCCCAGACTATGAGAAATAAGATTCTCTGGTCTGATGAGACCAAGATTGAACTTTTTGGTGTTAATTCTAAGCGGTATGTGTGGAGAAAACCAGGCACTGCTCATCACCTGCCCAATACAATCCCAACAGTGAAACATGGTGTTGGCAGCATCAGGCTATGGGGATGTTTTTCAGCTGCAGGGACAGGACGACTGGTTGCAATTGAAGGAAAGATGAATGCGGCCAAGTACAGAGATATCCTGGAAGAAAACCTCTTCCAGAGTGCTCAGGACCTCAGACTGGGCTGACTACCTCACTGACAGACCACAGTATGTCAGACTGCACAGCTGCTTGTCAGATGTGGTAACGAGCAGCACTGGTACACCCCAAGGAACTGTACTGTCACTGTTCCTGTTTACCCTCTACACCTCTGACTTCTGCTTCAACTCTGGAGTGTGCCACCTACAGAAGTTCTCTTATGACTCCTCCTCCCTATCATCTGTGATACAGCCGACAATGGAGGAGTACAGAGACCTGATTGAGAACTTCATTGGATGATGAGACAGGAACCACCTACAGCTTGACACAGGAAAAACCAAAGAGCTGGTGGTGGACCGGGGGTGCCAACAAGCTTAGCAAGCTGAAAGCCATCATGGACAACCCCTCTCATCCTTTCTACACTGAGCTGAGGCAGCTCAGGAGCACTTCCAGCTACAGACTGACCCAGCCCCGAGCCTCGAAGCGGTTCGGAGGCTCATTTGTACCATCAGCCATCAGACTCCACAACACCACAGCACCCAGTACCTCCAGTACCTCCAACCCCCGCAGACAAAGACTGGTTTACAACTCCTACCTACAAGGCACAGCCCTTTTGCACTATTTATATTTAATTTCTACTTTAGTAGTTTAGTAGTTTTAGTTTAGTTTTAGTTTTTTTGTTTTAGTCAAGTTAAATTTTCTGCTTATATTTTGCACTCCATGTCCTACTTGAACAATGCATAGTGTATATACTTTAATTTATAGTTTTATATCTTCTAATATTAATAATATTAGTAATATTTTTATTGTGATATTCTTTGTTCTCTGTTTTTGAACTACTTTGCCCTATTGCTGCTGTGTAAACCTGAATTTCTCCTAAGGGGGATAAATAAAGGAACATCTTATCTTATCTTTTATGTTTACTTTTTCAAATATTTGTACTATCATAACGAAATGCCATACTATGCATCAGTACATCTATCTGATGGTAATTGTTTCTTTGAATATGTATTACTATTGTATCATTCTTTCTCTCTTTCCTTCCTCGTGCTTTATCTATCTATCCTGCTATTCAACTGAGGTTAAGAAAAAAGTTAAAACTAAGCTCTATTGTTCCTCACCATGAACTTCAATAGTTAACAGCACTTAATAGTTAAGTGCTCTGTTGTCTCATTAGCTGGTTTTGATTTCTGTGCCCATATTTCTTATGAGTTAGCAGTACTGTTCGGGTTTACAGTGTGCAGTACCACCAACATACAGATTTTTATTTCTTATTTATCAATCATCAATTTTGGTTACATCATTAGCAAACAGCCTATTTTTTTTTCTCATTTCTTTCTTTTCATTATTTTTTAATTTATTTTTAATTTTCCCTGCACTGCTATAATGATTTACCGAGCTAACCGACATCAGGTTAATCAGATCAGAATCCTTTTTTATTCAGCTTTACTTTTATTTTTATAGCGCCAATTCATAACAGAAATTATCTCAGGACACTTTTCAAATAGAGCAGGCCTAGACCGAACCCCTTATAACATTATTTACAGAGACCCAACAGTACCACCATGAGTAAGCACTTGGTGACAAGGGCAAGGAAAAACTGCCTGTTAAAAGGCAGAAACCTAGGACAGCTGTTAGCTTGTTGAAGGGTGTGAACGGTGACGTGCTACGGTAAGCGTACTGACTCATTTCCGGTTTACTTCCTGCTCTGTGTACACTGTTTGTTGCTGTAGCTCTGTCAGTGAACGCTAAATCTAAATTTGTTTTTACTCGTTACAGCGGTTATTTTCCCACTTAACATTTAAACGTAGACTAGTTCTACCTGAACACTCGGAGTTACTCCTTCTTTTAGCGACTTTTCACTACTTTCAAAGTTTTTCATACACGCTAGCTTCATTAGCATTAGCAGTTAGCTATGGCTTCTCCCTCTCCCTCTCCTCTGTCCTGCTCAGTGTGTCAGATGTTCAGTTATTCCTCTGCCTCCTTTAATGATAATGGTACATGTATTAAGTGTAGTTTATTTACTGCGCTGGAGGCGAGGTTGCAGGCGAGGCTTAGTGAGTTAGAGGAACGGTACCGCACCACTGAGATATCTTTAGCCGCTATAGTTAGCCAGCCCCCAGTAGCCGGTGTGGTCCGACCGAAGGTAGCTTCTGTTAGATCTGTAGATCCTCCGGTAGTTCCCGAGCAGCCGGGAAGACAGGGAGGCTGGGTGACTGAGCGAAGGAAGACTAATACGGCGAAGCCCACAGGTCACCACCAACCCATTCACGTTTCCAATACATTTTCCCCACTCAGCGATACACCCGCTGAGGAACCAACTCTGGTTATTGGCAGCTCCATAGTCAGAAACGTGAAGTTAGCGAAGCCAGCGGCCATAGTTAAATGTATCCCTGGGGCCAGAGCGGGCGACATTGAATCAAATTTAAAACTGCTGGCTAAATATAAATGTAAATACAGAAGACTGTTATCCACGTCGGCGGTAATGACACCCGTTTACGCCAATCGGAGGTCACTAAGATTAATGTGGAGTCGGTGTGTAATTATGCTAAAACAATGTCGAACTCCATAGTTTTCTCTGGACCCCTGCCCAATGTGACCAGTGATGACATGTATAGCCGCATGTCGTCATTCCACCGCTGGCTGTCGAGGTGGTGTCCAGCAAACGATGTGGGCTTCATTGATAACTGGAAGCCTTTTTGGGGAAAACCTGGTCTGATTAGGAGAGACGGCATCCATCCCACTTTGGATGGAGCGGCTCTCTTATCTAGAAATATGGCGAAGTTTATTTCTAAAACCTGACAGTCCAGAGTTAGGACCAGGAAGCAGAGCTGCTGTCTTACACACTTCTCTGCGCTTTCTTTAGAACAGTCACCCACCCAAAACCCCATAGAGACTGTGTCTGTCCCCCGACCACCTAAATTATTTAAAGAAATAAAAACGAGGAGTTCAACATAAAAATCTAATAAAAATTAAAACCATCTCCTCAGTAGCACAAAATAAGAGAATGAAATGTGGGCTGTTAAATATCAGGTCTCTGTCCTCTAAAGCTGTTTTAGTGAATGAATTAATATCAGATTATGATATTGATTTACTTTGTCTTACTGAGACCTGGTTGTCCCAGGAGGAGTATGTTAGCCTAAATGAATCCAACCCCCCAGTCATATTAATACTCACATTCCTCGAGGCACAGGCCGAGGAGGTGGAGTGGCAGCCATATATGATTCGAGCGTTTTAATGGACCCTAAACCTAAACTAAATTATAATTCATTTGAAAGCCTTGTTCTTAGTCTTTCTCACCCAAACTGGAAAACACTGCAGCCAGTTCTATTTCTAAAACACTGCAGCCAGTTATAGTGTACCGTGCTCCTGGACCTTACTCTGATTTTATATCTGAATTCTCAGAGTTTCTATCAAGTTTAGTCCTTAAATCAGATAAAGTAATTATTGTAGGTGATTTTAATATTCATGTGGATGTTGACAATGACAGCCTGCATTTATATCATTAATAGACTCAATTGGCTTCTGTCAGAGTGTAAATAAACCAACTCATTGTTTTAATCACACTCTTGACCTTGTTTTATCATATGGCATTGATATTGAACATTTAATAGTCTTCGCACATAATCCTTTCCTATCTGACCATTATTTAATAACTTTTGAATTCATGTTGTTAGATTATAAGCCATTAGGCAAAACTTCCTACAGCAGATGTCTACCTGACAGTGCTGTAGCTAAATTTAAGTAAATTCTAAATTCAATGCCATGTCTGAATTTAACAGAATCCTATAACGACTTTAGTCCCTCTGAAATTGATAATCTTGTCGATAGTGCTACAGGCTCACTACGATCAACATTAGACTCTATCGCTCCTATAAAAAGGAAATTATTAAAACATAGGAGACTAGCACCTTGGTATAACCACCAAACCCGCCAGTTAAAACAAATAGCTAGGAAATCTGAAAGGAAATGGCGCTCTTCCAAATTATCAGAATATCGCTCAAATTGGCAAGATAGTCTTAAAATTTATAGAAAGGCCCTCCGTAATGCCAGAGGAGCCTATTACTCAGCACTAATAGTAGAAAATAAGAATAACCCTAGGTTCCTCTTCAGCACTGTAGCCAGGCTGACAGAGAGTCACAGCTCTATTGAGCCACATATCCCCATAAACTTAAGTAGCAATGACTTCATGAGCTTCTTCTATAATAAAATTATTACTATTAGAGAAAGAATTAATCACCAACTGCCATCAACAGTTATCAGTGGCTCTCCAAGTTCAGGGACTTCTGTCAATGTAAACTTAGATATATATTTAGACAGTTTTTCTGCTATCGATCTTCATCAGTTAACTTCAATCATTTCTTCATCGAAGCCATCAACCTGTCTATTAGACCCAATCCCAACTAGGCTGCTTAAAGAAGTTGTTCCCTGAATTGGCACTTCTTTACTGGATATGATTAATCTTTCTTTATTATCAGGATATGTACCACAGTCCTTTAAAGTAGCTGTAATTAAACCCCTTCTTAAAAAGTCCACTCTTGACCCAGGGGTTTTAGCCAACTATAGACCGATTTCTAACCTCCCCTTCCTCTCTAAGATTCTGGAGAAAGTAGTCGCCAAAGAGTTGTGTGACTTTCCACATAACAATAGTTTATTTGAGGATTTTCAGTCAGGATTTAGAGTTCATCATAGCACAGAGACAGCTCTGGTTAAAGTTAATAATGACCTTCTGACTGCTTCTGACAATTGACTTGTCTCTGTACTTGTATTATTAGATCTTAGTGCTGCATTTGACACCATTGACCATAATATTCTTTTACAGAGACTTGAGCATCAAATTGGCCTTAAAGGAACCGCACTTAGCTGGTTTAAGTCATATTTATCAGATCGTTCACAGTTTGGACATGTTAACGATGAATCTTCAATAAATACTACAGTTAGTCATGGAGTTCCACAAGGTTCTGTACTTGGACCAATACTATTTACTTTATATATGCTCCCTTTAGGCAACATTATTAGGAATCACTCCATTAACTTTCACTGTTATGCAGATGATACGCAGTTATATCTATCGATCAAGCCCGATGAACTTAATCAATTATCTAAATTACAAACATGTCTTAAGGACATAAAGTCCTGGATGACCTGCAATTTTCTGATGTTAAACTCAGAAAAAAACGAAATTCTTGTTCTTGGCCCCAAAAACCTTAGAGACTGTACATGAAAGACGTAAATGAAAGAAGAGAGGCCTGGAGGTTTGCTTTATGTGGGAATTAAATGACAAATCCTGATCAAAGCTAACTCCAAGATTTCTGAAAGTGGTGCTTGAGGCCAAGGTAATGCCATCTAGAGTAACTATATCTTTAGACAGTGAGTCTCTAAGGTTTTTGGGGCCAAGTATTTCGTTTTTTTCTGAGTTTAACATCAAATTGCAGCTCATCCAGGATTTTATGTCCTTAAGACATGTTTGTAATTTAGGTAATTGATTAAGTTCATCGGGCTTGATCGATAGATGTAACTGCGTATCATCTGCATAACAGTGAAAGTTAATGGAGTGATTCCTAATAATGTTGCCTAAAGGGAGCATATATAAAGTAAATAGTATTGGTCCAAGTACAGAACCTTGTGGAACTCCATGACTAACTGTAGTATTTATTGAAGATTCATCTTTAACATGTACAAACTGCGAACGATCTGATAAATATGACTTAAACCAGCTTAGTTCGGTTCCTTTAATGCCAATTTGATGCTCAAGTCTCTGTAAAAGAATATCATGGTCAGTGGTGTCAAATGCAGCACTAAGATCTAATAATACAAGTACAGAGACAAGTCCATTGTCTGAAGCAATCAAAAGGTCATTATTAACTTTAACCAGAGCTGTCTCTGTGCTGTGATGAACTCTAAATCCTGACTGAAAATCCTCAAATAAACTATTGTTATGTAAAAAGTCACACAACTCTTTGGCGACTACTTTCTCCAGAATCTTAGGTCTTTTTAAGCAGGGGTTTAATTACAGCTACTTTGAAGGACTGTGGTACATATCCTGATAATAAAGAAAGATTAATCATATCCAGTAAAGAAGTGCCAATTAAGGGTACGACTTCTTTAAGCAGCCTAGTTGGGATCGGGTCTAACAGACAGGTTGATGGCTTTGATGAAGAAATTACTGAAGTTAACTGATGAAGATCGATAGCAGAAAAACAGTCTCAATATATATCTGAGTTTACATTAGTTAAAGTTCCTGAACTTCGAGAGCCACTGATAGCTGTTGATGGCAGTTGGTTATTAATTTTCTCTCTAATAGTAATAATTTTATTATAAAAGAAGCTCATGAAGTCATTGCTACTTAGGTTTATGGGGATATGTGGCTCAATAGAGCTGTGACTCTCTGTCAGTCTGGCTACAGTGCTGAAGAGGAACCTAGGGTTGTTCTTATTTTCTTCTATTAGTGCTGAATAATAGACTGGTGTCAAACTGGTGTTTTGAAGTTTTTACACCTTGTGGTGTAATACTATTGCACATATTGGATTCCATGGAATGGCGCCGGCGACAACGGCAGCCTGTCATGGCAGCTCCTTTCATTGTTGTAGTTTTAGTGTGTTTTTAGTGTGTTTTTGCTATTTTGAACTCTTTTCTTACTTTCTTACTCTCTTACTACTTTGTTCATGTCGCCTAAATACTTTTTTGGCGTTTTTGAGCACTTTTTATTTTTTGTTTACGCTTGTCTCCATGGCGACGGGGAGTCGCATTGTTTTCACCCGCGACCAGATGATCGCCCTGAGGCCCCCTAGCATCCTGACCGGAGAGAGACCCTCCATACCGGAGGAGCTGAGGAGGAGACGGTGAGGCTGCAGAGCGGGGGTTAAACGGAGGATGAAGAAGAGGAGCTTTAAACCCTACATCCCTGCAATCATCGAGCAGATACCGGACTCCATCATCACCATTCCCGGCTTCCAGACGGTTCGAGCCGACAGGGACACCACCGCGACCGGCATGAAGAAAGGAGGGGGACTGTCCGTGCTCATAAACAACAGGTGGTGTAACGCCGGGCACGACTGTGTGAAAGAGCGTCTGCAGCCCGGACATCGAGCTCATCACCGTCGGACTTCGTCCATGTTATCTGCCACGGGAACTTTCCAGTGTTATCACCATCACTGTCTATATTCCTCACAGTGGTCTTCATCATCATCATCATCACTGTTTACATTTATGATGTCCTATTTATTCTCCTGTACAGCACTTTGGTCAACTTTGGTTGTTTTTAAAGTGCTTAACAAATAAAGTTGGATTGGATTGGATTGGATATTAAGAGTGTTTGTTGTGGAGCCTAACAGCAGCAGGAAGGAAAGACCTTCTGTATCTGTCCTTCACACATCGAGGGTGAAGCAGTCTGTCACTGAAGCTGCTCCTCAGTTCTGTCAGGTCACCGTGCAGGGGGTGGGACTCATTGTCCAGCATGGATGACACTTTAGCCAGGACTCTCCTGTCACCCACCTCCCTCACTGAGTCCAAAGGGCAGCTCAGGACAAAGCTGGACTTCCTGATGATCTTATCCAGCTGATGCCACTGTTCCAGCAGACCCCCCGTACAGGATGGCTGATGCCACTACAAAGTCATAGAAGGTCTTCAGGAGTGCCCCTTTCACTCCAAAAGACCTCAGTCGCCTCAGAAGGTAGAGCCTGCTCTGTCCTTTCCTGTAGAGTGCATCAGTGTGGTGAGTCCAGTCCAGTTTGGTGTTGAGGTGAACACCCAGGTACTTATAAGAGTCCACTTGCTCAATGTCCATTCCCTGGATGTTCACTGGTGAGGGGAGGAATATCAATGCCATATGATAGAACAAGGTCAAGAGTGTGATTAAATCAATGAGTTGGTTTATTTACACTCTGACGGAAACCAATTGAGTCTATTAATGATATAAATGCATTACTAAGTGTCATTTTCAACATCCACATGAATATTAAAATCACCTACAATAATTACTTTATCTGATTTAAGGACTAAACTTGAAAAAAACTCTGAGAATTCAGATATAAAATCAGAGTACGGTCCAGGAGCGCGGTACACTATAACAAATAGAACTGGCTGCAGTGTTTGCCAGGATGGGTGAGAAAGACTAAGAACAAGGCTTTCAAATGAATTATGATTTAGTTTAGGTTTAGGGTCCATTAAAACGCTCGAATCATATATGGCTGCCACTACCGGTCCCCAGAGGAATGTGAGTATTAATATGACTGTGGGGGGGGGGTGGATTCATTAAGGCTAACATACTTGTAACTGCCCCACATGTCAGTTTAATGCATTCTCATTTATTTATTTTTTGGTTCCTACCTACCTGTCAGTTGAGGTGGGCTCAGGGGTTGTTTTTGTTTCTACACGGTACCACTTTAATGATACACCGCCTGGCAGAGCACGGCAAGGGAGAAACGACACGGTTGGTTGTCTCCACACTTGGT